CCCCCCCCCAAACTCATCTTGAAGGTGACCCAGATGCGAAAAAAATTTGGGGCGGAATCTTAGAAAAGTCTACTATTATGAAGTGATACATGCTTTTGTATAGAACCACGGTGCTACTTGAAGTGAACGGAAAAGATGTGTACGCTCTCACCTTGACAATTATTTGTGAGGCAGCGTGGTGGAATCAGGCTCTCGTCAATTTTGGGGCATGTAGAGTTATTGAAATCATCTTAAAGCTTGTTCACTTGTCTTTATTTGGATGAAAAAACATCCATTTATCATGAATAAATGAGGTGGGGGTCACCTGTTTTCAGAGGTAAAATTAGTGAGAAAATGGCCGCCAAAGATTTGTTATTTCCTTAGCTTAAGAGTCCGTGGTAACTGAAAAATTTACATTTTTTGTGCCTTTAATCAACCTTTTTTCAGAAAAATCCACGCAGAAATGAGTTCTTTAATGGGCTTGAAAGGTGTTAGCCAAAAAACAAAAATTTGATAAAAATGCAAAAACCTGCTGAAAAATACAAGTTTCTTCACTTTGATTATTTTGACGAGAGCCTGATTCCACCACGCTGCCTCACAAATTTCTTCGGACACACAATGCAGAAAGAAGCTTTGGAGAATATTGTAACAACAGGCAAGTTTGATGGAAAGAGAGGCAGGGGCAGACAGAGGGAAAAGATACGGGACAAGATGACAACATGGCTAGGAGCAGCAAGAACAACAGACACCATAGCTGCAACGCAAGACAGAGTAAAGTGGAGGTCCATGATCGCCCACGCCAGTCGGCAAGGCACCGGATGATGATGAATCCGATTGAATACATCTCAGCATCTCAACAGAAAGACGGAGACACTCGATGAGATAGGCACTTCCACCAGTAGACTAATCTCACGTCTTCCGTGTGCAGCGTTAAAAAGCCTCACTTCTACAACTCAAATGACCTCACCTCACTTTGGGAGGATCTATCTTTGTAAAGCGCTTACATAAGCTTTAAGGAAACCATATCCAACCAATTAGCTGATTTATCAGTACTCTATAAGTAAAAACATTCCCACAAATGATGATACAAATTTTTAAACATTCTTGAGGGATATGTGCTGTTAGTCTAGACAACACTCTTACTTTTGTGGCGTCTGTGGACTAGTGGTTAGGCTCTCGGACTCGCAACCGTAAGGTCGTGGGTTCGAATCCCGTCAAGGGCCCGACATTGTGTCCTTGGGAAAGGCACTTAACACGAACTTTCCTCACTTCACCCAGGTGGGAATGGGTACCCGGCTATAGGCTATAGACAGCGAAAGATCTTGTCAGTTTGTTAGTGTTTGAGCGCTTAATCGGCTGCTTGCACTGTATGCTTCCCGGGAAGCTGAGAATGTTTCAGAGTGTCCTATGGTCTGCTGGGGTAATAATATAGTGTAAAGCGCATAGAGCCTGCTGCTGAGCGGGGATATGCGCTATACAAATGCTATCTATTATTATATTATTATTACTTTATGTCGGAATGATGTTCAGTGTTGCGTGACTCTCCTAGCCCTATATGTACGCTATGGGATCATTTTGTACCCCGGGGTTGTATTCTTCACGTTTAGACTACTTCTAGTAAGAAGATCTCTTTGAAACTTTCAGTATTTCTAAAAAGAAATCATTTTGACAGACTGCTATGCACAGCGTACGGATCGGAATAACGAGTAAATTTCCTCTTTGGACAGTGGTGGCACAAAGTTCCCCACTTCGTATGGATACGATAGTAAAACACGACGTACGGATAAGGCTAGAAATCATTACAAGCGTCTGACCTTGAATGACACTTAATAAAAAGTGCGATGGGAGAACTGCACTAGAAGATCTTACTACTTTTCTTTCTGTCTGCTATTACTGCCTGTTTTGCTGCTCTTTCCCTGCCTGAATGACAGGCGTAGTGTTGATATGCGTCACTTTCCAAAAATCTATACACTCAGCAAATTACGAATCGAAACCCTTTTGCTTTAACGTAAACTGAGTGGAATTGATCCCTCGAGGAGGAAAAAGGGGCCGGGAGGGGGGGGGGGGAGAAGGGGGATGTTGTACGGTGGGATGATGTTGTAATTGTGACTCCTATGGGAACAGTTAAAAAAAAAATGTACATGCATTCTGAAGTATATCTGCCGGGGGGTTGAACAAGTCGTGAACGTTGATGTTTAATTGTACAAACTGTGTCCGTTTTGGGGTTCAAAAATAATATATTTTTTAAAAGATCTAAATGATGCAATTTGATCTGGATAGAGAAGAGGATTACCCATCTCACCACTCACTGGTGCAAAAGAAGATTGAAACCACCCTGTTATTAACCTTTTCATGAGTTTGAGCTCAGCCTCGTCGTTCAGCCTTGAATGTTTCCTTTGTCGTCTCCCCGCTGGACCTCCGTGCCGAGTCGTACACACCCTTTCAAACCACACTGCACGAAGTCGTGACCACAAGTTTCACGAGCGAGGAAAACAAGCACGCCACGCCATTGTCCCGCTAAAGCTGATTAGAATCAATTCAAATTATGATTAAATAAGAATGTTCTTCAACATTTATGTCCCATTGTGAATCAGAGCACGAATTTAGAACTACTATGCTGGCCAAGGAAATTACTGTTTTGTCGTAAAACCCTTCACGGGACTGTAAATTAGAACCCATGAGCGCTTCTCAGAATCGATGCCTAAGCAACATAATAACAGTAGTTTTGCATTGACTGAATCATTTCATAAGCATTCAGAACATGACCAAAAACAAAAGGACACACAACATATTCAGTCTGATTTGTATAGGTAATGGACTACCTACCTTAAAAGGGGTGGGGGTTAAATTGACGATTTTTTGTCAGTTTATGGTATCTGGACTTTTTAGG